AGGATATATCTTCAGTGGCAGCTTATTGCTTCGGGAGAAAGAGCGAATGTGTGTTTGTCTCCTTTCTCTTTTGCTTAACTCAAGCTCTTCCTTCCCTTCTTCTCCTCATCTAACTTTCCTGACTTTCTTGGAGTGTCAGATGATTCTTATTCCTCAAAATCTTCTTCCCTCCTTAGCATATGCATAATGGAGTTGCAGTTTTTCGTTGTCCAAGGCAAACTTGTTGCATGTGCATCTGGAAACTTGCAATGGATGCGAATTTACTTGTTTTTCTTAGAGTAATAATGTCTTTTCAATTAATTAACTTGAAAGTTTACGATCCAACTCAATTAGGCTCAACACAAAGCCAGATAACCATCTACGACTCAGATATTTGGTTTCTAAACTTACCCTCTCCATGACTTGCTTGTCTTAAATTTTTTAAAACCTTTTAACTTCGATACTAGCGTAAGAAATAATCTCCTTCACTCCAGTTTTAGTGTTATTAGGATGTTAGTAGACGGAAAGTTTTGTTTTTTTAAAGACAGCTTCAAGGAATGGAGCTTGTTCAGCTTTGGGCCTAAATTTTACAAACCTGAGGCGACTTACTGCTGCTGAGAACTTCTCTGATTATGAGCTTTGTTTGACAAGGTTGCCCTTGTAATGAAGAAATGAGACTTAGGCTTTATTAACAGTCGTGAAAGCTAATTTTTTTTCTTGTGGAATTTTCTGAATATATGAGTGGTTGACCTAAATTTGGTGACTTCAGTGAACTGTCTCTCATGTTCAGGTAGTTTTGTTTGCATCACATGTTCATGTTCCGGTAGCTTTGTGCCTTTGTTTTGTATCCTTCCTCCAATCGATATCCTTCGCATTTTTAGAACCCCTTTAGGTCAACTGTTGTGAAATACTCCTTGATTAGAAAATATTTGCAGTATTATTCTGTGATGGTATAATTGATAATCATTAAAAACAGAAATGTCGTTTATACTATTTGTTTCTAATACGTGAGAAGAGCATGACTGGAATTGCACATTAGAATGTAGGATTTTTCCAAATATATAATTTTTAGCATTGAATAGATCTATTTCTTAAATTTTCCTATTCTTTCAGGTGTTTTCAGCTTTTGGATTTGTGCACAAAATCACAACATTTGAGAAGACAGCTGGATTCCAGGTATTTATGCTTCAGAAAGATGGATTTGACCAAGCTTGATTAGTCTCAATATGTTTGTTGACCTCCTAATTAACTGACGAGTCCCTCACCTCCTTGAACCCTCTTCAGGCTCTGGTGCAATTTTCTGATGCAGAAACCGCTACTTCAGCAAAGGATGCCCTGGATGGAAGAAGCATTCCCAGGTGATGTTGGATTATATTTTGGCTGGGTTAAGGATCATTTTTGTAGATGTGGTGCATATACATTGGGGCTGGACATCTTTGAGGAGCTTTTTAAGAATTTACTGAAGGGGTACACACATGCTCCTTAGCCCGTTCCATATATTTATATTGACATTTCAGGCACCTTCTTCTTGTGTTCATTTAAGTTCTAGTTAATGGGGGATAATAAGCTTATCAAACTCTGCTTTTTAAATGCTGCTACAGAAGGCATTCATAACTACGACTTTCTTAAGAAAGAGGGCTGATCCTTGTAAAAATGCTTGCAGAAAAGATGATTGTTTGGTCTTCCCGTTTAATTTAGTTGGCTAAAATTCAGATGGTCGGCCGGCTGCTTAAATGTACCTATGCTCAGAGCTATTAGTGGAATTCTGATTTCTATGATCTTGTGAAGGGAAAAATATATGCTCTAAATTTTCATACTATACTCAATTGCTGTTCTGGAGAAATATTTATTAGCTACTTCTTGTTCATGAGGGGCAGTTAACTGATTTTTTCTTCTCTCATGCATTAGTTACTTGATTCCAGAACTTGGACCATGTACACTTAAAATCACATATTCTGCTCATACGGATCTGAGCGTGAAGTTTCAGAGTCATCGTAGCAGGTAAAAATGATCTCCATCTTCCTCCTCTCACGCACATGCACTATTTTTCGGATAAAGTTGCTGGGAAGGAAAACTTCTGTATACAAGCAGTGCACCAAAAAGTAGAGAACCTAATGAAAGACTCCCAATCTTCTATACAAACATACACATTCATAATTGATGACTTGTTTTAATTATTGAAAGCTGTTCATATAGATTGCTTTTGCGCAGTCTTCATCATACTTTATTATATAGTGTATGTGACTTAATTGTTTGGATTTATTATTGCCTTCCTCTCTTTGAATCTTAAATCGTGTATATGGTTCTGATTTAGGGATTACACCAATCCTCACCTTCCTGTTGCTCCCTCAGCCATAGATGCAAGTGGTCAGGTAATGCGTCAGTCACAGCTCTCTCTCTCTCTCTCTCTCTCTGTGTGTGTGTGTGTGTGTGTGTGTGTGTGTGTATGCAGGCATCAGTTGCACATAGAGGATTTTCTAGGATTGGTAAATTTTTGTCTTCCAGTTTCCTTGTTGCTGGTGTTGTGCTTTCTGTGGGATTACTTCATGATACTGCCCTTTCATACAGCAGGAATTAACCAGATAAGTTTGAATGTGTATCCTACACTAATATGGGATTGAGGCTTAGTTTATTGATTGGTATGCATGTATGTCTTTACATGGTGTGCAAATCTTTTTCTAGTTTGTGGTTTGAGATATGTTCCTAGGTTGCAAGCTTGTCTTGAGATGCTGTTTGTCCTTTCTTTGAAATTTCTTCCATCCGTGTCACAGTTCAGTTTGGGTTTGGATGGGAAGAAACTGGAACCTGAGAGTAATGTTCTTCTTGCTTCCATTGAGAACATGCAGTATGCAGTTACCTTGGATGTCCTACACACGGTAACATCCCTCTTCAGTTGCTAAAAAAAAGCTTTTGTACATTCTCTTGTGACCTGTTTTCTGAGTTGTTTTATTGCTTCCTCATTTTCCTTCATATGTCCTCAGGTTTTCTCAGCTTTCGGTCCTGTACTAAAGATTGCTATGTTTGATAAGAATGGAGGGGTTCAGGCTCTGATACAGTACCCTGGTAAGATGAAATGCAGCCAATAATTTGCCAGTGTTTGTTCTTACCCTTGCAAGTCGCAAGTCACCACTTTATTGCTCCAATGTTCTAAAAGCATTTGGCATAGTGGCCAAACACTGTTCTCAGCTTCTTGACATTATATTATGTTTTTATTTATGTATGACATTCTATAGTCAAGAAGGCTACTTTCTAGTGAATATTTATTGGGTCATATACTTCCAGCAGTCCTTTTTTTCAACTTTGGTTTTCCTCTCAAGCGTCTTATGTAAAAGAAAATAGTGGGTATTAGTCAAAAAAATGTTTTCTTTTTTTGATAAGGAAATATTTTAGACTGGTTAAAAAAATGTTTTCAACTCTCGTATACTCTGAAGAACACGGTTTCCTCTTGTGAATTGGTGCTGTACAAACTCAGAAGTAATGGATCTGAATTGATTATTCTATACTTAGATGCTTGTGAGTTGAACTAAGCAATAAATTTGATAATTCTACAGATGTACGCACAGCTGTTGTTGCGAAGGGAGCTTTAGAAGGACATTCCATTTATGAAGGTGGATATTGCAAGCTTCATATCACTTACTCTCGACACACTGATCTTAGTATAAAGGTAAAATCAATTTTGTGGAGAAAGCTTTATTAGCTTAATTTTGTGGAGAAAGCTTTATTAGCTTGAGATATTACTCTGTGACGGGAACTCTGTGATTTAGTGTCAACCATCTCTTATCTGCTCATTTCTTATACTCCCCTGCCTCCTTAGCCTTTTTTTTTCCTTTTCCTTGTGAGGGGCCTAAAATGAATGATTATCATTACTGATTTCAGGTTAATAATGATCGCAGCAGAGATTATACAATCCCAAATACCCCTATGTTGAATTCTCAACCTTCAATCTTTGGGCAGCAGCCACCTCAGATAGGAGGTCCAGGTGTTCATCCATACAGTGCCCCTGCCCATTACGCTCCAGCTCCAGGTGTTGCTCCGCCTCAGCATTCTGCAGGCTGGAACTCTGCTGCCGCCACAGCAAATCCAGGAATGCCAATGCAGATGCATAATCACCCTTACATGCCACCTGGTAGTGTGCCTTCACAGATGGGTTCTGCGGTGATTCCAATGCATGGACGGAATGGCATACCGTATTCTACTGCAATGCCTCCTTATCATCAACAGTAGCACTACCGTGAAACAAGCTTTTCATACCAGGGGTCCATAATTTTGTTGCAGAGAGATGTTAGCCAAAATGTGACAAGTCTTTTGGTCCTAACTGCATATCTTGGTTCTTTTTGTCTGTCGTAGCTCTTTTCTTTTGGGGCACTGAATGGTCCCGTTGCTGCTTTTAGACACTGCATTGTACAATATTCTTGATCATCTTTCATCGGTATGAATTATATTATGGAGCAAAGGCTTTGATTCACGCTTGTCTTGTGTGAAACTTATTAGCTCGTCGACTCTTTCCCATTCATGTTAAGTTGAAAACAAAGAGTAAAACAAAGGACCACCAAGTGTGCCAACACATGGAATCTTATGGCGTTTGTTTCAAACTTTGGGTAAACTCAGTTTTGGAAAATTTCTTCTTGTTTTATAACATATTTGTTTGATGTTGTTTTCATTTCTTTTGAAAGTTTTCAAACTCAGGTTTTCGAATTTTGCATAAGCTAAAAAGCAACGTATAAACTTCCCCAAGAGAAGTGAACGTGAAACCAACAAAAGAGAACTTTGGTTGACTCCAGTGGGGTTTCAAGTTCCAGTCCTGAAGGATAGGCCACTTAAAAAGTAATGAACTTTGGTCCATGCTGAGCTTGGTACTTGCACAGTAAATTCATATTTGGCTGAAAAGTATTTGGGTATGAAAATGTCCAAACCGGCTGTTTATATTAACCCCTGGCCCCTGGGAGTTTGGGAACCGGCTCGGCTCCGTTGACATCCTCAAAATCTCTATGTAAGCTAGTAGTATTTTTTTTCTTTCAAAAAATAAGGGTGAAATAATAAAGGCCACAAGAAGAAGAGCGCCAATTTGATTGAGATAAGGTTTTTCTTGTTTGCTCCCTTATTGTATAACATAACAAGAAGCAACCCAATCCTGTGGCTCTCTCTCTCAATCCCTTCAACTAAGTGAGAGCAAGCAAAAGGGAGAAGAGAAGTGCGTTACTCTTCAAGAAACTAAAAAAATCGTATCCTCTTTTTTGCAGTAAAGAATCTTTGAATTGAGTTCAAGGCAAAGTATCTTATTTTTTTCTTCCTTTAAACCCTAATAAACATCTAATCGAAGAAAACAAAGAGAGGAAAGCGATGACTACTCTTCAAGCTTCTCTTATCTTCAAGCCTTTACCTTCTCCTCTTTTCCATTTTTCTTCTTCCAAACCCTTTTACTCCCTTCGTTTATCCACAACAACTGCGTTTACTTCTTTAAAGCCTCGTTTTTGCCGCCACAATTTACTCCTTCACTGTACATTGACTCCTGAAAATGTCAGTTCTGATTTTGCCTTATCCAATAATAATGATAATGAAATTGAACCCCAAGAATTCAATAAACCCCAAGAATTCAATGAGCCCTCCTCCTTTGGTGAGAGCAGTAGTTCAATTGAAGAAGCGAGTAATGTTGTGGAATCTGAGGTATTGGTGGAGGAGAATGGGGAAATGAAGAGGAAGTTGCCTATAGTGGTTTTCTTGATGGGGTTATTTGCTAAGGTCAAGAATGGGTTTGAGAAGATTTTGCTGTCTGATTGGTTTAGTTGGTGGCCCTTTTGGCAGCAAGAGAAGCGTCTCGATAGATTGATTGCTGATGCTGATGCTAATCCTAAGGACACAGCTCTGCAGAGTGCTTTGCTTGTTGAACTCAACAAGCACAGGTATAGCTTTACTTCTCCAAGAAAAGATTTAGCCTTTATCTTAGTTCTGTCTTATGCTTCAGTGACTTAATGTAGAAGAGGTAGGATAATAGTAAAGATTCTTTTTTTTTTAATAAGGAATATTGTGGTGTTCATTACTGATAATAATACCATGTTTAGCAATCTTTGCCCGTCTTTCAATATAAAATGTTTAATTGGTCATTATCCTCATGGATGCTTTTGATTGGTGTGCCTAATTGCAATTCTCTTGCTATTTTAAGAACAAGCAAAAAATCCCATATGTGAGGTGCCTAATAAAATAAGAATGCAGCTTGTGAGTTCCTGTAAATTACTGTATTCAAGTCTTTCACCTGATCAGTTCGAGTTATTTTTGTTTCCTTTTTTAGGTTTGATAGTCTATAAGTTGCCTTAGCTACACAAATTTGTTTTTAGAGAGTATTCACTGTTCTCTTTATCTTTTCAACCTTAGCCCTGAGTCTGTCATTCGGCGCTTTGAGCAGAGAGCTCATGCTGTAGACAGTAGAGGAGTCGCAGAATATTTACGAGCTCTTGTGGTGACAAATGCTATTGCCGAATATCTACCTGATGAGCAATCCGGAAAGCCTTCTAGTCTTCCTTCACTGGTAATTGTTTGATCATAATACCTTTGCATTTTTTGGTGTGTATTGGCAAATTCCACCTGTGTGGTAATAAATCATTTTAGTGTTTGACATTAAGTAGTGAACATTCTGGGTTCCTGATTATCCCAGTTAGTCTCAGTTCATTCTATCTCCATAATGACACCTAAGTGCTTCTATTTTCTGGAGGGAAGGAAATCATTTTGGACTCTAGATGTTCTGGTCACTCCTGTAATTTATACTGTTCTTGTCTCTTGATTTGGTGCTATTTTTTGATGATTAATGGAATCAAAATGTAGTTGCAAGAATTGAAGCAGCGGGCATCAGGGAACATGGATGAGCCGTTTCTCAATCCTGGCATTTCCGAGAAGCAGCCATTGCATGTTGTGATGGTAAGATACCATGAGCACTGCAGTTTTTGTTGACAAAAGGAGTCTAATGTTCATATTAACCATCATATCTAACACCTGTGAGTCACTAACAGTTAAATATGAATTTGGTTTATGGCTTTTCGTGCTTCCACTGGTTCTGCTGATGATTACGTTATCCATTTGTTGGGTCATGCTTTTGCACATGCATGTGGTTGTTTAACCCAGATTTCATTATTTTCATGTAGGTTGATCCTAAAGTTTCAAGCAGATCATCACGTTTTGCGCAAGAGTTTCTCTCAACTATCATATTCACTATTGCCATTGGCTTGGTCTGGTAAGCTTATCTTCTGGATTTTACTATTCCCTATATACAAAATGAGGCCTAGTAACGTCTCTAAATATACTCTTGCCCTTTCTCCAGAGTTTGTGAGGGATTGGGGTGTACACTGCTTGTTTTTTATGTGATTGATGCCTTGCTAGTTAGCATATTAAGCTAATGTGTCTCTGTCCTACCTTAATTTTCACTCTCTTTCCTTGCTTTAGGTAACTTCTCTTGTCTTTGGTTGGTAGATAATGAGTCTTATCCTTCTTTACTTTTACTAAGAAAAGAACACATTCATTTGTTCAGGATAATGGGTGCTACTGCACTTCAGAAATATATTGGTGGCTTAGGTGGGATTGGAGCTTCTGGTGTCGGTTCAAGCTCATCCTATGCCCCGAAAGAGTTGAATAAAGAAATAATGCCTGAGAAGGTATGTTTTCTTTCTGGAGATGTTACATGAAGCTTGTGTCTTCTGCAACAATCTTCTGATGTATTATGTTAATTAAAGAGATTGGAAGCTAATTTTCATTTATTTTGCTTCTCAATTCTTGTCATTGTGTGAAATGTCTAGTTTGTTTGGCTTCCTCGTTTTGGCATTAGAAAAGAGAACTCTTGTCTCTGGGAATTTCGTCCAGAAACTTGGGATTCAGGAAATTTGGAGGATTGAGACGTCTCATTTGTAATTTTCTATGCTCTTGCGTAATCAGATCTCAACTACTGATCAATTAAGTGTAATCTGGAAAAGGGAACAGCTTCAAGTATCTTTTTTATCCCAGGCTATTCCTACATAACTTAATTCCATATCAGTTTTATATTTTATTAACATAAATGTTGATGCCTCATTGGTCTTGGTTGTTTGATTTTCTCTTAATCTTTCATCTGTTCAGGAGTAACTCTTTGAGCATCCGCTCTCTCGTTAACTAGTAACAACTAACAACTTCTAAGAGTCATACATCATTCTCCTTTTGTATATTAAGGCTCAACCATGTATAAATGCTGCTTCTTATTCTTGCGCACTGTTTTGAAGTTTTTGATAGACAAATAGTTTGGATTATCTACTCGATGGACTTTTTTTTTTGATAAGGAAAAACAAAAAACGTTTATGCTATAGTGCCAGTTCGTTCTAGAGATTCAATTTTCCTTCTGGGGATTGCCCAATAGGGATTGGGAGAAGTATGACTTTTCTTGTTTGTGGATCTTGGATAATTGCAGTAGTTTTTGTTTATTTATTTTTCTTTTGGACGCAGAATGTCAAAACGTTTAAGGATGTCAAAGGTTGTGATGATGCTAAGCAAGAGCTTGAGGAGGTTGTTGAGTACCTCAAAAATCCTGCTAAGTTCACTCGGCTTGGGGGAAAGTTGCCGAAGGTTTGTGCTTATTATGCTTATTTATTCTGGCTTGTCATTGTCAATTTTGCTTTCTTTTATGTAAACCACCCCCTATCCTTTTCATGAAGGAATTATTTATCTTGTTTTTAGGGCATTCTTTTGACTGGAGCTCCTGGAACAGGAAAAACCCTCCTTGCCAAGGTAAGCTGTTGATTACATTTTACACTGAAGTAGTTGTCCACATTGGGTTTTCCATGTGTTGGCTACCTGTGTTCTTTGTTATAATTCCAGATGCACTGCACACTTCCAACTATGCTCAAATTCAGATGAAATTTCTTCTTGTTAGTTGTGAGTCTTCTGATTAGGTCTCTTCTTCACTCTTTCCTCTTCCTATTTGTTGGGAATGTAAGATTTGTTATCCCTTCTTTTTTTTTGGTTGCTAAAGTGAGGTAATTTAAGATTTGTTGTCCTTGCAATTACAAAACATAGTTATTCCTTCCGTTCTTGAATATTTTCTCAAGTGTCTGCCTTGGTCCTTTTTTTAATTATTTAAAGATTTCTCTTCTAGTATCGCATATTAATTAATTAATAGAATTGTTACTTTGTCAAAAAAATAAAAAAATAATCTTGTTCTCTTCCTTGTACAAAATTCTGTATTCGTCCTGCATTCAGAAAACTGCCTTTTGCATTTGTGATTCTTGTATGTCAACATAAGCATATATACTTATGCTAATCATGCTTAATTATCTTGATTGAAGGCTATCGCTGGAGAAGCAGGGGTGCCTTTCTTCTATAAGGCAGGCTCTGAATTTGAAGAAATGTATGTCTACTACTCATGGATAAAATTAAGATTTGTGATCTCCCCTTACTTTCTTGAATGAAGTTTAATTTCTTCTCATGGATAGCAAGTTGCTTGGTGCTTAAAAATTTACTCTAGTCAGTTTTTGTCCATTATATGTACAAATCTTCAGTGATTTGCTCCCATCATCTAGGAAACTGGATGATAACTCTCATTGATATCACAACTTTTTCATGTTAACTCTTAACTGTGAAGAGAGGATTGGTAATGTCTGCACAGGCCTATGCATGTCACGGTGTCTAAATTTGGTCAATGGAGGTCTCAATAGCTATATAGGGTAGATCTTCTTTTCGTGCACATGTGACAAGGTGGATTTTATTGATTTATTCCAGCTCTAAGATGGTACTGGATTATGTACAAAATTACAGTTAGCAACAACTCTTTCCAAATCTAAATACTTATGAAGCTGAGGAAGTCGAGTAAAGTGTCTACTTCATGGATGTCAACCATTTTGTGCCAGATGGCTGTCTAGAGAGTAAATTTGTATTTTAATCTGAAGATAGTGTTGGTGTTGCCCTAAAATATCCTGTGATTCCTTTCCCTCCAAAGTATCCTAGCAAATGCATACAGGAATGGTGTTCTAGGCAGCTTTAGCTTCCTTGCACCCCC